AGCTAGTTATGTTTAAAAATACCGGCTTAACCTGAGAAAAAAATCTGCGCACTATTGGTATTATAGTATTATTATGGACTATACATTGTATACTGGTGAACAGTAACTATTGTATAACACAATTATCATTGAAACTAAGTACAAAGTAACAAAGTTTCTAAGTTGTAAGTATACGTATATGTAATATTTATACATGTTATTTATGTCATAACAGTATTTTAAATTTTAATTGCAGTTGACCAACCACACAGTTATTTCTTCTCTAACCCTTGTCTAACAATTGGAAAATAGGTAACACATACGCAGTGGGAGGATATACCGTTCTTTGTTTCCTTGTTATGACTTAAAAACAGGGAAACTCACTTTTGCTATATATAGTAGGTACTCTAGTAAAGTTCGAGCGTAACTCGTTATTCGTTATAGGTCACTGTAATGAAATTAAATGATAAATTATTACTAAAAAAGTAAAAACTATTCTGTGCAAAAGAGACGGGTAAATACCTATCATCTATAGTATTTTTATGATATTGTTATAGGATTTTTATAAATCGGTACCTAGGTTAGTCTAATTATTTCCGGTAACATATTGCACAAAACTCACGATAAATTAGGTAGTCATTAGTCAACCGACAAGCCGTTCTACCGTAAAATAGTGTTAATAGGTTTGTGATATATAAATACCTAATCCAAATATTTTTTTAATTTATTTATGATTTTATACGTAATGTGTGAATGTCTCAGTTTTTTTAATTAGGTACAACAAAATATAACTAACATCGTTAAATGAAAAATAATTATTTTTTGATCAATTATCCAATTTCTTCATCATTATAACTTTAAAAGCTAATAAAAAAAAAATGGTGACTATATAATATATTTTCGACTTTCGTTATTTTTAAATTTCAGTAATAAAAATTTATGAGGAATCTGCATAGTAAATTTTAAATCTTAACCAAGGACCAAAAACTGTGCCAACATAAATTGAATAAAACCTAAGAAACTCGAAAATTTTAATAATATTTTATTAATAACTTAAACGCCTCAAAAACAGCCGAAATATTATGAAAATTATATCATTTGTATTGTGTACACATTCTTATTTTAATATTTGTATGAAACTACATTTTGTGTAAACGTAAAGTCTTTATGGTTACCTATTAATTTCTGAACTACGACAATTAACAAAATTGATTTTGTTAAAAACTGATGTTGCAGCGTAAATATTCCTATTTTTCCATAGTTTCCTACTTTCGTTTTTCTTAGTTACCTACTCAAAAAAGTTCCAGTAATTTTTTGAATTTTACCATACAAAGTACCAACTAGATCAAATTAAATCTACCAGAAACCATTCGGTCTAAAATATTTGAAAAAATATAAGTAGTTACCTATCTAATTATAGTTTAAAATTAATAAATAAGTAGGTAGCTATTCGAAAATTGTTTGTATTCTAAAACAAATAATTCTATACCTATTAATATATTAATTTTATTTGAGTTATGGTCAGTAAATTGTTCATCCAACCAAAATATTTAAAACAAAACAAAATCTGTTCCTTTATAGTTCTTACCTTCTATAGTAGATGCCACTTCATCAATTTAAAAACCTACCTACGGCGGCGTTAAAAGCACGAAGCGTACAAATCCAAAAAATCAATAAGTTTTATCCAGTTAGCTGTAACAAAGGTCTGTAACATATAATGTAGCTATACATTTACACTATATAGTAAGTAACTTTGCTATAGATATTCCTATAAACTATACAGTATACTGTGTACTTGTCAATATATTAATCCCACTTTTGGGTCAAAATTCAAAAATAGAACTTTTACTTAACAAAGCTTTTGGATTACACGCAGAGTTAAAAATGTTCCTATTACCTATTTATTTTATTTTATAAAATAGGTTATCACACAATTCATCGTTCGATTAATAGAAACCATATTATAATTTGTACATTAATGTACCTACATATTATCAATGTAGGTAAATATAGGTACAATACATCTTATTTCTTTGATTTCCCCAGAATCTAAGATGGTAGGATTGTAGGAATAGATTAAATTTACAAACCAAGCAGGACGCTGTAGTCGGGTTATCCACAGGAGTTTGTATTATCATTTAATATTTTAAAAACATTTGCTAGTAATTAAAAAAAATTGTAATAAATTTTCACTTTTTTATGTTATACTTAAATACATTTATTATAATAACGTTATCTTGAAGATTTATTTATAAACTTTTTTTGAATACATTTGAATAACTAAATGAGGTATACAATGAGTATTTATTGAACAAAAAATGTCTGAACAGTAAGCAGTATTAAATATCTCCGAAAAAAATAAAGAAATCCTTTTTGTTGTAGAGAAATTAATTGACACTTTTCAAGAACATCGAGAAAAATGAATTCCAAAAATGCGTCATTTATTTAGTTACTACCACGGTATATTATAGCTATAATATACCGTGGTTACTACAAAATAAAACCCAATACCTACTAACATAAGAAATATTGTAAAGGAGGGTTTCCACTATACACGTTTGCCGTGTACACGAAAAATGTTCAGCTATGTCCAACAACACGGTATCGTGGTTAATCGTGTGGTAACATAATCAACCAATCACAGTAAAGGATTTGTATGCACGTGAACGCGTACGTGTATAGTGGAAACCCGCCTTAATTTGTAAACATTAATTTTATAATTTTATAATTTAAAGCCAATAGGTACATCAGAAAATAAAAGCACCTATTTATGATTTGTATTTAATAATGCGTGCGGTAAGTAAATTCATAATCTCGGACAGCAAATAATTAATTTTACATTATTCAAAAAAAAAAAAATCTTAGAAAACAGTTAGAACTTAATTTGTATTATAAGGAATTCCATACACAAACATGTTATAATGTAAAATTTATCAAAAGTTCCAAATAGGTAGGTAGATAAGCGAAAACATAATTTTTAAATAGGTAATTTTACTCTAATGTAAAATATTTGGGTTTCGCCTATATTTGTATTATTTTTAATCTAAATACCCGTCATTCATTGTGGCCCCCAAGTTAAATGGATGATTTTTCCAAAAGAGTGACAGTTGAATTTCACTGTTCTTTGGACACTCAATTTCATAAAGGCTTAATCGAGGAGATTTATTTATTTTTTTTTTGTTTCATACATAATCTCCATGGAAATGTATTATGTTCCAATCTATAGATGATCCTCCATCAACCATGTCAGTGACAATATTAAAATGAGTGGCTTAACAGATTTTGTCAGTTTAACGTGGTGCACAGTAAATATAGTACGACTAATACGAGTGTTGTAATGACAATACAAAATTAAAAATAATCATAATAAATGTCAATAAATCGATCTAATAAAACATAAAACAATTATTTAACATTAAAATACTTGAATGTTATTTGATATTATTATCAATAGTAGTGCGACCAAGATTACCGTCTAAAATAGTAAAACCAGTTTGGTCCCAACTGGTGCCATCGTCTTAACTTGGTTGCACTATTGTATAGTATATAATAATTAATAATAGTATAAACGTATAATACAATATAATGCATTAATTCCTCTTAGGAAAAAAAACTATACCCAGGTAGGTAGGTACTTTATTTAATCGTGAAATCACAAATATTTTACTTTGGAGTTATACCCGCGCATTTATACAGTGATATAGACGTCATGTAGTCCTACAGAAGTTTATAGGTATACGCCTTAATCATTGTAAAAAATAACGTGGGGGGGGGGGCTAGGCCAAACCTCTGTACCACGATTTTCGGGTACACTCAACACTCATAAATATAAAATACACTGCACTTCTATGTACACAGTACCAACAGTACCTACACACTAAACACTAAACATATGGGTAGAATAGTATAATTATCGTAGTATAATTTATGTTCAATAGCTCGGTATATAGACTATATAGATAGTCATGCGAACAATATCTAACACGGGGTGACGGAGTGGTGGAAGGTGTCGGTCCGAACTCGGCCACGGGCGGCATTTTTCTTCGGGCAGTCACGGTGTCCGGAGAGAGTGGCCGCCATCCCCCACCCGGGCATGGCAGTACCTAAGGGTGCCTACTTAAAAATTCTGCCAAAACAAACACACACGTGTCCAAAACCTACAGTACCTTCCCCCACAGTTCCACAGGCTAATGACCTCAGTTGACGAATCCTCAACCTCCCAAAAAATAAAAAAAATAACTAATACGCAATCAATTATAAGTCGAATATCTATCTGTTACACACGACCCATTATCGTGGGATAATGTATAGGAACATATTATGTAGGGAGCACAAAAAAACTGGCTAATTGGGGTGGGGGGGGGGGGGTTAAACCCCATTACCAACCGGCAACCACCTGTGGATATATTCATTTTAAAGCAAGTTATGAGTATTTTAAACTTGCTTTAAAATTAAAATATAATGAAAAGCCTATACGATGCTCTAGGGCCTAGATAATAATCTCATGTCCGTATGCATATTCAATTTGTGTGTCACATTAGACATATAAATATAAATAGTTTAACATGTTTTATGGGACACATAAATAAAACTGACTAGTATATTTGACTGCATATTGTATACGGACAATAGGCATTACCTTTAAATACATGTGTTGTACACTGTACTTGAGAATATAATTAACTTATATAATGGTTTACTAAACTAAGAACAATATAAATCAAAAATATATGTTTAATTGACTTGTTTTTTAGATATATATTTAACCATAAAACAAAAAAAATCCTAAAATCACAGTCGTTTAATAATTGGAATAATTTTTGAGAACAATGAAATTGATATTTTAACTAAATATATTACCAATATTATTTTTCTGTTTTTTAAAATAAAAAAATTTAGTTATCATGTTTCAATTGAGTTTGACACATATAAGTGCATTCTGAAAATAATAATAATATAATATAATGAATAATTTTAATTAATAACAGTACAAAACAAAATAACTTTAAAATGTTTATATATTATATGCCATTAAAACTCAATGGTAAACAAAGATTATAAAATGTATCTTTTTTCCAAAATGACGCTTCCTTCCAACAAACTCCTTTACCGTGAATACTTTTTATATTGTCAGAGCCTGTATAGTGAGGATCCAAAACCAAAAACTTAACTTCACCCAGTTCTTCATTGATGTCTACTCCTAAAATAGTGTGAGCAAGTACTCCACCGCCTAAAACATAAATAAATATAATATTATGAAATTATACTATTATTGCTTCTATTACCTATCATCACAGGAGTTCCGTGTCTATCAAAATGTTCAGACAGCTCAAGACACACTGAATTTAACGTATCACCTTGCCTCAAAGACATTATTCGACATGTCACATCTAAATGTGCATTTAATACAAAAGAAACTTCCATTGAACCAATCCATTCACTAGAACCAACAAATGGTTTATTTTTGTCACCCAAATCAACTAAAATTTGCTGTATGTCACGAATGGAAGGCACAGGTTTATTGGTCCATCCTTGCCACCTATTAAAACAAGAAAAATAACAATATTTAAATTTAAAAAATGTTTTGAGTAGGAAAGAAATTTTAAAAGCTATATGCAATAGATACAACTTTGATTACTCATATTAAATATTCATGAATAACATTAAAATTAGATAAATAATACCTATTCATCATAGGCGGAGCCACGGGGCGCGTCGGGTATGCAGCTGCACGAGCTAATCGCCCAGAAGGCTGCTTTAATTTTATTAAGAAAAGTAAAATCCATAAATGGTTAATTTGACTGAAGTCTAATGATCATTAGAATAAAATATCATATATCAAATAATCAAATATCATACTTTAACCAATTTTTTAATGTCATTCAAAAGTTTGTAGTGATCCCTGTAACACGTTGTACTTCTGAGAGGTCTTTCTCTAAATTTTCCCTAGTTAAATCCAAATCGAGATCTACCATGAATTAAGACAGATTAAATGCTTTGATGATATTAACAGTAAAACAGGAAATGGGCAAATGCCAAATGGCACTCAATGTTGATGCTGATACTGTAATAGACGATTTTAAGATAGTGTTAGATTTTAAGAAACGAATGTCTTTATAATATTTTTGAGTGAATTTTATTTATGTTAATATTAAAATATTTTTTTTACTTGTAATGACAAGTAATGCAATTATATTTTTATGACATACTTAAATCTAAATTATTATTAAATATAGTGACCATTAAAAACATTTTAGCGATTTTAGGGATTAGCCCCTCAAGCCTCCTCACCCTAATTGTGGTGTGCTGATTTAGATACTGTATACACTGAACAACACTTATGGCTCCGCCTATCCTACTCATTTAAACTAATTTTAAATATTTCATTTGATAAATTAAATAAGAAAATTTTAATACCTATATGATTTTAACTATAATGTATGTGCATTTAAAATACATACTTAAACCAAGAATATAATGTTTGTAAAGATCTGTAGGCACAACCCCACTGATGATCGTTAAAACCACCTTGACCGTAGTGGTAAAATGTATATGTTCCCTGAATTAATGATTTTCTTCCATTTTTTACTAGAAAAACAAAATGTATATAAACACAATAATAACTATAAATATGATAGGAAATATTTGAACAGTATAAAATGCAACTATGCACATCTATTAAAACAAAATAAGTTAAAAAGATAGCTACAATATTTAAATCATATTTTCAATAAAGTTAATCATTATTCATTTATTGTTAGTTTTCATTTAAAAATGAAAATTTTTTTGTTTTCAATATCCCTTAAAACCTCAAACACATGTTTCAATATCTATTCTCACATTAACCTCATTTAAATTAAATAAAACATCAAAAACATTAAATTAAATTTTTTAGTTATTTCTTCAATTATTGTTGCTCCGATTTCATTTTTGTATTACCTTTGATTTATTTCTATTCATATCCATGTCACATCCCCTCATAAAACAATTATCCATTCTTCTGAGCAGTTCTTGTAACTCTTCCTCTGTTCCCAAGCTCAATGTTATGTTGCTGCCTAAACGTACACAGTTTGCAAGTAATAGATACCTAACGCCTTAAACTATATGATAATAATAATACATTTTTTTTCTATAACTTACTTCCTGAAGGAGATAGACCTTCATGTACATTTGTTAAAAGTCCTTCATCATTTACAGGTGGCTTAGCATCAAATTGATAAGCATTTGATATACGAAACAATGGTCTATCCATGGATAAATGAAAAGCATTGTGTAATTTTTTTCTTAAATTACCTATGAAAATAAAATAAATTAACTATATCATAATATATTACAGAATAATTCATAAAATCATTATTAGGTATCATAATGTCTTATTTACAAATATTCTTTTTATTAACTTAAATTTCTAGCCACAATAAATAAAAACAATTTTAGATTCTGAGTGGAACGATGAATGTATTGATTTTACAATGATGTGTTTTTTTATTTTTTTTTATTTTTGTGTCTGTCATCAAGGTTTGGGGAGGTAAAACTGCTTCGATTTTCTTCAACAGTATCTTGTTCGATGGGAAAGTGAATCTAGTTGGTGCATTCGGGAGGTCAAATTTTAAAATACCCTATAGTTTTCACAAGCGCCGGCAAAAACAACATAAAAATTAAGGAAAAACGGGAATTTTTAAGCAAACTTGGTTATTGACAAAATCGATTTTGGCTTTTGGTGTAACTCTAAAACAAATGATCGTAAATACATTAAATTTTCACTGAATGTTTATACATATTAGCCTTTTCTATGCATGAAAAAATTTTCAAAAAATGTTGACTTGTTTTGAGCTGTTTACGGATATACTCAGTTTCGAACTTTTTTAGGTTTTTTTTCTATGAATGTCAATAAAATTTTATAAGGTAAAAAAGCTTGAAAATTTTACACAAAGCTATTATTATGTTGTTACATTGACGTTTGAAAAATATTAAAAATCCTTAACCACAGTTTTTTTTTATAAACATTTAAAGTTAAAATATTGACAAAATACGGAAAAAACATAAAATTTTGCAAATTATTATTAGTTAGAAATTCATAAAAATTTTTCCTTTTAAATCTTAGATTTGAAAATGTAATACAAAATTTTTCATAAGTTTGTCTACATTTATTAAAAAAAAAATGTCTACCGGAAAGTAAAATTAAATTTTTATGAGCTTTTTAAATTCATATTTTTACAAAATTTTTTATTCACTCGATTTCTCATGTAAAAATTTTCTTATTTTAATATAATTCAAAAACGAATGACTCTAGATACATGCAAATTTCACTGAATGTTTATTTTATCAATTCTTATACTTGATCAAGTTTTAAAAATATTTTGAAGCTTTTTGAGCTGTTTAAGGGCACTATCAGTTATCAATTTTTTTATTTTTTTTTTTCTATGAATATCAATTAAGTTTTATCAGTAGGGTCAAAAAGTGTAAAAATTGAATACAAGGCTCCTGATATATTGTTACAATAGCAGTTGAAAAATATTAAAAATACATAGGCACAATTTTTTTTTATAAGCATTTAAAGATCAAATTTAAAATTTAATAATTATTTCGTAGTTAAAATAGTAGTTAATTGTTTTTTTTTTGTAAATAAACATAAATTGAAAAATTAGAATTATGGCTTGAAGAGTTTGATTTGTTATGTAATAGTTTCTTTAATAAATTCTAAAACTACCAATACTGTAGTCTAATTTTAAATAAAGTTTCATTAATATGCAGGATAGCAACAGTGAGCAGTGTCGATTACCATGACTTCTACTACCATAGTAATAGACATAAACATAGACATAGACCATAGACATGGTCAGACAAAATCCAGTCGACCAGTGAAATGTGATCCTTTTATATTTGTTTATATTACTTCCAATATTATATTACAGTGCCGGATTAACGTATAGGCAGGGTAGGCACGTGCCTAGGGCTAGATAAAAGTTGCCATCAGAGGGGGCTATTTTTTGGGGGGGTACCAGTAGAAAGGTTTTTATTATTCATTGCTAATGTTGGACACAAGTCTAAAGATGTGGCTGAAACTGTTTTAAATTTACTATCAGAATATGAAATACCAATTGAATATTGCCAAGGTCAAAGCTATGATAATGCGGCTAATATGTCTGGACAGTATATACAGGTCTTCAGCCTCGAATCAAGAATATAAATCCAAAAGCAAAGTATATTCCATGTTCTGGGCATTCACTCAATCTAATTGGGACGTAAGCAACTGAAAGCTGTCTTTATGCAACACATTTTTTTGATTTGCTTCAAAAATTATTTAATTTTTTTTCATGTTCAACAAACCGTTGGTCGATTTTGGAAGAAAATATTGGTAAGGGTAAAGTTGTTAAAAATCTGAGTGTTACACGTTGGAGTGCACGAGCAGATGCTTGCAATGCTTCTTATGCTGGTATAAAAAATGCATTGCTGTATATAATTCAAAATGCTGATGAAAAACCTATTTGCAAAGTTGAAGCTAAAGCTATGTACAATTTATTGAATACTTTAGAAGTTTGTATAATGATTTGCTTATGGAATTCAATTTTAAATAGGTTAGCTTATATTTACATTTTCATTATTATATATTTAATTGTATATTATTCTATTTTTCAACTTTTTGGAACTTGGTAACATTAACCATAATACTATGACTTATCAGTAATATAATTATTATATAATATAATTTTGTTTTTTTGTTTTTTTGTTTTTTGTATTTTTTACAATGGGTTATAGAAAAAAATGTTTGCCTAGGGCTATGATCGGTCTTAATCCGGCACTGATTATATAGACTATTATATAAAATGTCATTAGCAGTAAAATTATAATTAATTGATTGCTTGAAATAGCATATGACCTTAGTGATATAAATTTATTATTAATATACATTATACATACTATACGAATCTATTTGATTGTGAGAACAGACAATTGTTAGAAAATGGCACAATGTATCAGGCAAGAAATGATGAACAGCAGGGAGATCCTTGGGATTTGAAACCAAAAATGATTGAATTGATTGAACATTCTTGACTATACTATCATAAATCAGATTGTATGCCTGTGCATATGTGGCCCTCTTAGGAACCACACATAAAGTGTCTAGCTGACAACAAATAAGTTCTTCATCAAAGGGTTCTAAAAAAAAACAACTTACTTTTAAGTTATCCATTGAGTTTATATATGTTTAATTTAAAATGTACCATTTGTTTGATGAATTATAGGGAATTCAGATATATCTGTGTTTTCAGTTGGTGCATTTGATAAATTTTGATAAACAGATATATTTAAAACTTCATAATCCAACTTATTTGATTTTACTTTTATTCCATTAATAGTTTCTTTATCTTCTGATTTTCCCAAGTACTGTTTACTTTCTTTAATATAAAAAAGTGGTTTCAAACCAATCTAAAACAAATAAAATATATTTGTAATTATAGCGTAAATATTCAAATTGGTTACTAGGATTTTGATTTTAAAATTAATAAAATATAAAAAACACGGGTGGTATCTCAAAATGTTTTAACTATTATAGTTACTTTTCCAGTTTTTGATACAAATTTATAATAATTTAGAAACTAATTTTATTAGTTTAATTAATTGTGACTGAAATCACCTTCCAAAAACATGTTATAAAGCCCAGTGATATTTGATATTATCATTTATCAGAATGAGGGAAATTATTAGATTTTGTTATATTTGTTTGCAGTTAATTTATTTTTTAAATAGTCTAAATATCTAATAAACATACCTTTTTTTCTAATAAACTTGTAGTATATAATGAGTCAAAATCATTAATTTTTCTGTCAATTTCCAATTTCATACAAGTTCTAAAATATAATAAATTCTTGCTTATTTCCTCTTTGATTTGAACTTGAAACTCAAGTTTTTCAGATTGAATGGCATTATCAATCTTTTTTAACCCCCAAAGTTTTACTTGTGAACCAACTATGTTCAAATAAAGTGAATAATTTTCATTAAATTGATCCTAAAATGAAATTAAATGCTTAACAATTAATATTTAATAATAGCCAACAACGGGTTTCAATTAATTAATATGATATGTATGTACATTATTCAAATACTCCTGGACATTTTCAATTAGATCAGCATTTCCTGCCAAGCCGCAGGTGGTCAAATTGTGAGGACAGTTATCGTCTACATTGAAAGATGAATCCACAAAACCAATTACATAGGTTTTGAACAAATTTTCTTCATTGATGTTAACCCCTAGTAGAACAAATTCGTTGATTTTTGACAGGCCATTTTTCTCTAGGACCTACATAAAATGTAAAACGGTATTGGTTATCATCAAATCACAAGTTTCAAATTGAGAAAACAATTTTTGTAATTAAAATTAAAATTATCAACATTCCAATACACAATATTAAAGGAGGTTGACATTACCTGCAAAACGTCTTTGCAAATGACTACTTCACGAAGGATTGGGTCCATTATGTGTATGGAAAGACGAACAAAATTACAAAAATCCAACGACTGCTTAAAATGAACACTCACAAAACGCGTTACACGTCATCTTGATTATTGGGTGAATAGCAAACAGTGAAATGTGAATGTCTACAACAACTAATAAGTCTTATATTATCTATTGGCGAAATCGAACACCGCAAGAAATGTTATCACTCAAAAATGTTATCGCATTTATCAACAGAAAAACTTGTATAGGGTCTTAGCGCGAAATACAAATATATATTTTAATTCGTGGGTCTTAGCAGTGGCGACGTGGCGTATTTAGGGGGGGGGAGGACGGGGGGCAATTGCCCCGGGGCTCCAAATTCTGAGTCCTCAAAGGGCTGCCGTTGCTAGAGGTTATAACAAAATTATTTTTTTATTTTATTGGATTTGTTGAGAAATTATATTAGTGATAACCACGGACGTATATACAGGACTGGGCACGAGTCGTTATCAGTGGAAAATTAGTGTCACGCTCGGGACCACAGGAATACACATTGCGCCATCTATTTGTGTTATATTTAATTGCGAAATTATTTAATTATTTTTATTTTTATTTTCATTTTTAATACTGAAATGGATGTATACCACAGACGTCCGTTACGTATATTTAAAATATTTATGAAAATTTTCGTTTTAAAGTATTAAATTTACTACCAAATACTAACGTCGTTTATAGTATTTACTCCTACAGTCCTACGCACACACATATACATTACATATGTACTTTGTACGTCCCTGTTATTACTATATTAAGGTTATCACCTTTTCATTTGAATCATTTTTATGTATTTTGTTCTTGTGTGCCAAATATGTTATGGGAGTAGTACTGTTAAATGCCATGGTTCAGAATTATTTATATCAGCTGGTGGTAACATATTGTCCTCGATATCAATCTTAAATAAAATGTTTAATTTAATATTTATCTACTCAGTATATTTAATTTAAGTTATTTTTCTGAAATTGGGTACCTGTGGTATAGCATCTGGTTTTAAATTTTTACGTTCCATTTGTAGCTAATAATAAGAAGAATGAAATAAAATAAGTTGTGACTTATAGTTATCCAATAAATTAAAAAAATATAAATATACACCTACAATATCGCTAGCTTTGAAATGTTTTTCACATAGCCTATGTGAAATTTTATTTACATACTTTGTATTTATGGTCTGCAATAATGAAACCCATTTATCAAAAAAGATTTTTTGTTTTGGAAATCCAAATCTACAATTAATTAAACAAATTGCAATTTAATCATTCTAATTGCTTAGGTATAGTAATTAGAAATATTTCCCACAACTGTTCTATTAACGATTAAATGTATAATTTTAATACTGCTTACGAAGATATGTTTTGTCCCTTTTTTGACCCACAATGAGGAAAACAACAAAACTGTACCATATTTATTTAATTAAGGATAATAAAATAATAACAAAATAGCAATACTGAATAATTCATTTACATTTTATTTTACATATTATATATCATATATTATGCAAATTAATACATTAAGATACAATTTTTGGAGGGAAATCTCTTTATGTAAATAAAAAGGTTTAATATATTTATAACATGGGTGTAAAAGATACACACAATATTATTAGAATATTATAATATAATAAATGTTGATAGAAATAAAATGTATTTTGAAATAAACGACTAGTTGCTCTATTATCCGCTAGATGTCAGCATAGACCATAGTGGGCCCACAGGCGTGACACTAATTTTCCAAAGGCTTATACAGTAAAGAGCGTTCGTGAAATCGTGACCAGTCCTGTATATACGTCCGTGGTGATAACTGATAAGTGAATATCTGTATCTTTCTTATAATATCTTTTACATTTCTATACCTACAATCTACATATTATTTCTACGTAATATATATATATATAATGTATTTTATTAAATTGTCGTACAAAAGGCTAAAAGGCTAAAATCAAAATTATAATTTGTTTATTTAATTAGGAATAAACGGAGTGTTAATGGTAAAATAAAAGTGTTCTCTAAATTAGTGGAAGCATAAATGCACTAAGGGGAAAATATACATTTTGGGTACCTACCTATATCAATTATCACTTTTACATGGCTTGAAACCGATTCAAAAAAAATTTCTTTTTTGGTTTCGATTTGTACACCGGTTTCCTATTTTTTTCGGTTTTGGTTTTGGATTTTTTTAACGGTTTCAATTTTTAAACGGTTTATACCGGTTTCAAAATTCGGTTTCAAGACCTAGACTATTTACGTTCATTCTTAGTTTATTAATTTTTTTTGAATCGCTGGATCGAGCGTCCGATCGCCTATTGTGTAAAGTAAACTTTCCAAAATGTCAAGATACAAAAATTTTCAAAAAAAAATACCATTTTTTAAATTATATTTTTGGTTTTTAATTATAATACAGGTAGCCAATTCTTTTAGAGTCTGTATTGAATTTAATACCGGTTTCGGATTTGATTTTATTTTCGGTTTCTACCAGTTCCACAATCCCTGCACTATTAACTGAGAGAAAAAGTTAATTGTAAATTAGAGTTTTTTTGTGACAATGAGTAAAAAGAAACTGAGAAAAAAAAGGGCTCCAAAATGTGTGTACCCAAGGCACCAAAATCGTAAATACACCACTGGGTCTTAGCCCTTAGGTATAATTATCACTTACTACAGACTATATAGGTGTTACCTTACTACAGGTATACTTAGGGATGACAAAAACCCCAACTATGTATCGTTGCCATCCCTAGCATATACTTATTAGTATATTAAGGTATGTGGCCATGGCTCGTGAAAAAAAGGAAGTAAATAGGTATGAGAATAATTCTCAATTGTTGTAGTTTCAAAGAACCATATTATGAGTCTAGAACACTAGTTGACAAGCCACAAGTCACAACTCACAATAATATTATTTTATGGGATTATTTTTTAGAACAATGAAACAATTGAATAATTTCTATTCCAATTTTACTCGGGCCCAGGCTCCATAGATATTATCTATATTATTTATGAACAAATCGCTTAGCCGCTTAGGTTTCCTTTATTATTAAATTCATAAATCATAATTCAATATGTATATTATTATTCAATATACACACAAATCATGCATCTTCATTATTCATACTATTCTATTAACAGTAGACTCATGGGCGTAGTTTGGTATAATTATCTGAGGGAGCTATATGTCTATGTAGGACTAGAAAATTATAAAAAGATTTTAAAATATTTTTTCGGATTAAATGTAAAAAAAATTAAAGGTTGGCTGTAGCCCCCATGCATACCACGCCCATGCCAGTAGTGTATCTAGGATTTCTTCAGGAGGGGTGATATAAAATTAACATGTTATATTGGATACACAATTTGGTCTCTGGGGAGTAGATACGCCACTACTGACTATTACTACACTCTACTATACTATTCACTATTCATGTTACTCTAGCCTTGGAGACAGTTAGTTTCTGAATGTATTGTAGATTCAAATTCGTTCCCATGAGCACTAGGGTACTATTATTTATTTAGGACAGAATCATAGTTTTAATAAATAAATACTAAGCATAACCATGCTAGTAGCCAGTAGGATCTAATATTCACAAAATAAACAAAATACAATCAAGTGATGAGTACTAATCTCAATTATTATACTTTTTACTTTTTAGCTAATTTGTCCTAGATTTAGCTGAACTGTATCTATAAGCTTATAAAACTTAACTCAATCATAATTTTAGCATAGGCAAACTAAGTTTGTTATTTTTGTCCAAGTATAGGTACACCTAGACCTAACAGTATATTTCTCTAGTCTCAGCAGGCAGCAGCCCAATGCATATTATGGAAACATAAGATTTTATTTGTTATATACCTAGGTCAAAGGATCACAGTCCACAGTTCTATATTTAATTGGTCTAGTAAGTATTGACTATATGGCAGTGGATACAAAATACTACTAATATAGGTCCGTTAGATTATTTAGATATTTTGTATTTTTGCGAACTAAACTTAAGTATACTTTATAAATTAATATAACAATACCATGTTCTCAAAACGAACTCAAATTGAGTTCGTTTCTATTCAAATATATAACAATAAATAATGATTTATCAATTATTTTGGATTGCATTTTAACAAGTCTTGTATACCTAATAAAAAAGAAATCACTTTATGCTTTAAAATATCTAATTAGACTACTGTCTATTTCACAATTAAAAGCATTTAACTAACACTGAAATTAAATTTCTTAAATCATAATTATTAAATAATAATATATATATTCATTGTTCCAGTTGCTTTCGTATACATTAAAAATTATAAATACTGTATAAAGTATTACCTTTCATCTATATAATTTTACTATTTTATATATTATGATGTAGTACATCCGTACATTAAAATGTAAAATATATTAAAATTTAAAATACATTTTAATGGAATATTTAGTATTTGCCATTAATTTAATTCTTGGTAAATCTTGGCAATTTCAAAATTACGCCTCTCTATTAAGTATTTAAGTACAATATCTAGTATCTTTATCAAGACATAGTAAAATAAAGACCATTTTTAAAAATTACATTTATCACAGTATTTAATATGAAAAATATCATAAAAATTAACAGTATTTTATTACGATTCATGAACTTGGAAAATACTAAATTCTTTAAAAATGCTTATTTTAGTGAAAACTGACAGTTAAGAGTTAAATACATAGGTATGTGCAGAATTATTTTAGTAGGGATAACTTTATGACTTTATTAGTTTAAAATGTTTATCATGTAAAAATAAAGATGTTTCATATTTTAGATATTGTATTGATTTTACAATCATATATATGTTATTTTATTCTGTCTAAAGACACTTTATCTAGTCTAAAAAATTCTCTGAACATCAACTTTAAGGAAAGTTTCTAGTAGCAAATTGTATCTAGTACTTTGGTAGCTCAAAATAAAATTATTTAAAATCAACAGAAAAAATATAAAGATTTGTAAAATTGTAATGAAAAATTCTGAAAT